TTTTTTTGGTTTTTCGAGACAGAGTTTCTCTGTGTAGCTTTGCGCCTTTCCTGGAACTCACTCTGTAGCCCAGGATGGCCTCGAACTCAGAGAGATCCGCCTGGCTCTGCCTCCCGAGTTCTGGGATTAAAGGCGTGCACCACCACCGCCCGGCTATAAAATTTTTTTTTAAAGATTTATTTACTTATTATGTATACAGCATGTATGACTGCAGGCCAGAAGAGGGCACCAGATCTTGTTATAGATGGCTGTGAGCCACCATGTGGTTGCTGGGAATTGAACTCAGGACCTCTGGAAGAGCAGTCAGTGCTCTTAACCTGAGTCATCTCTCCAGCCCAATTTTTTTTTTTTTTTTTTTTTTTTAATTTTTCGAGACAGGGTTTTTCTGTGTAGACTTTCGACACTTTTTGCAGGGCCAAATAAAGACAGAAATCTTGTTTTTCCCATATCTGGATGTAACTGATATCTGATATGCAACTATGAAAACAATTGTAGAGGTCAAGAAAGGAACCAAATCATTCAAAACAGACGAGAAGTTACCTTAATAGAGACTTTGGTGTCTTTGTGAGCTAGCTTGAGAGCATTGTGGAATACCTTTAGGTCCTCTTCCAGAGCCAAGGTGGCAGCAGGGAGCTTCTGTTGCTCGTGCTCTATGTGCTCAGCCAGCTTCCCAGGACAGTCTATGAAAATGAGCCGTTTGCTGCCCTTGAGGCCAGTCAGCAGCCGCTCGTGGTACTTGGTGTACTCCCTGACCCAGGAGTTACAGTTATAGATGTAGACTGCAGAGACATTGTCGTAAGCAAAGCCAGGGAAAACAACAAACCACTTAGAGAGGAAGTCTGTTTTAAAGCGATTGCTAGGTCCAGTATGGGTAAGGTCCACTACAATTTCATATGGCTTTGCATAATATGGCTTTAAAGTCAGCAAGACATGGTATATCAGCAAATCACCATTGATTTGGCCAGTTTTGAACCTATGGAAGGCAACAAAAGGGATAAACATTGTTAAGATTTCCGAATGCACAGAATATAAATCTATTTTCTTTTGTTTGACCTTTATTAATTATGTGTGCATGCATGTGTGAGCACGTGCACGCATGTGGAGACCAGAAGACAACACAGCACACCTGTGGAGGCCAGAGTCAGCTCCCTCTCTCTACCATGTATGTTCTGGAGATTGAACTCAGGTTGTCAGGCCCGCAATGAAAATATCTTCACCTGCTGAACCAGCTCACGGGCCCCTTTTAGAAATTTATGATTAATTTTCTCATATTTTTGGTTGTGAGCCTAAACTTTAACAGCAGAGCCATCTCTCTGGCCCAATTAATTTTCTAAAGAGGACAATGATATAAAACAATTATTCAAAGTGCAGATTTATATTTATATTTTCCAGACATGTGCTCAATAAGGATAAAGATGGATGGGACAAACCCCCTTAAGAATTTTGAAAATAACAACAAACCTGCCCACCAAGAAAGAAGGAAGTCAGCGAGCGGACGGACAGACAGACGGACTGGCTAAAGGCCCCTGGGTGGCTGGAGAAGATGCTTAGACACTTTAGCTGACGGTTACCTGACCTTGAACAGAAGGCGGCTCAGCAATGAACACGACACTCAAGTCAGACAGTCAAGTCAGAGGCCCAGTTCACAGTTAGTTTAAACTGTTGGGGTTTGAGAGCCTCCCCCCAGGTTTGTAACTAAGAAAATACACAGCCCTGGGGATTGTTAACTGAGATTTCGGGATATGATGAAAAAACATGCCTTAAAACCTGCAGAGAAGAAGCTGAGAAAAGACAAGACACTCTGGGGTCTTGGCCATAATCTGAGTCATAGATAAAAATCTCTCCCATGGTTACATTTCTCCCAGACTATTCAGCTGTGTAAGCCACTAAGTTCCATGCTTTGATTAAACCACACTAGGCCCTAGCCACATCCACTTGGCTTGAGTCCTGGAAACCAGACGGGGCAGTGAGGGAATGAAGGAAGGACCGACAGATGCACATACAGAATAACTGGGATCAGGTGGGCTTGGCATGCTCTGATGGAGTTGCAACAACTACTGCAACAACCTGGAACCCTCAGAAGTTTATCAGGTACAGCCCAGGTTAGCTAGTCTTGGTCGGAGGTCTCTGTAGTGAGCCATCTTGGGCTTTACAGACCAGGGAGAAGGAAGTTGCAGTTGCTAGTTTTGGCACACACTGGTCACTTATTGGTAAACACTCATCTTTGACACACTGCCAACACCGTCAGGGACCAGAGGAAGGCTTCACATGCTTCTGAGCCTCACCATGGGTCTCTGAGTGTGTGGTGGCAATGGCGGGGGCTTTGCCACTCCCATGGATTCAAACAACACTCCCTCATTCACTCAGGACTTCACTTGGTTGTCACACTTTCACTTGGCTTCCTTGGCTTCCCACCGTCATAGATTGTTTAGACTCAACAGGCACAGCAAGGAAGCTAGGAAGGATATGGGGTTTGACTCTGTTTTTGGTGTTTTTTGTTTGTTTTGTTTTTTTCGAGACAGGGTTTCTCTGTGTAGTTTTGTGCCTTTCCTGGAACTCACTTTGTAGACCAGGCTGGCCTTGAACTCACAGAGATCTGCCTGGCTCTGCCTCCCGAGTGCTGGGACTAAAGGCGTGCGCCACCACCGCCCTGGGGCTCGACTCTGATCCAAACACCTTTATCAACTCAGGCCCACTGTTCCCACCTCTTGATTATCTGAGATGTGATAAATATCTTTGTGTAAGAATTTTTAATATTGTTGTGAAGGAATAAAATGACAAGTTGAATTTTTTTTTAAGATGAAAGGAGTATTTTAAGATAATAAAAGATAAAAGAAAATACACAGGCTGGGCATTCCTACTCTGAAAAAAACTTTTGAGTGCCTCAGGATGCCAGGGTAGAAAATTCAAACCTGGTACTCAAAGCATAGATACACTAACAGTGAAGTTTGCCTTCTGTTATACACATGAGGTATATATGAAACAAATGAATTTTGTGTTTTGTCTTCACTACCACCCACTCAAAATCTCATTGTATGTGTGTGTAAATGTAAACACTGCAAAATCTGAAGGAAAACTAAAACTGCAAACATACATGGACTTAAGTACTTGGACAAAGGGTCTTCAGTCGGCATGATGTGTTTTACATCACTCACTAGACAGACAACGGAGAGGAAAAACCAGCATGAAGTTTAAAAGGAGGAGAGACCAGCATAAATTAGTGAGTGGAAGCTATGTAGACATACTGAAGATTCAGTGGTGGAATCTAGAAGAAAGTTTAAATTTAACGAGAAAGAGAAATCCGGCTTGAGGAGAGAGGTAAAATGAAAACACAGGAATGTTATTGGGCCCACACGGGAAGTTCTGAGAGATGCAGATGGGAAAGAAGTGACGGCAAAACTAGGAAGGGACCATCACAGGCCTTAGGTTTTGCTTGGTCACTGTTCTGTTCTGTGGATGACCAGTGTCAGGGCCACCTGTCCTGTTGGCTAAATACAAATAAATGGTGGTCCCCAGCACAGACCTACTAAACATGAATATACGTTGGGAACATGGCATTCTTGTTGTTTTAAAACAAACTTCCCATCTTATATAAGTATTTTGGAATCACTCTTGAATATTTTTCAACTTCTAGTAAGAAGCGAGGAGCTGGGGTTTTGCTCAGTTGGTAGAGCACTTGTCTAGTGGATGCATGAAGGCTTGGGTTCAATCCCTGGCATTTGAATGTGGTGCTACAAGCCTGCAATTGTAGCACATGAGGAGAGGGGAGGATGATCATAAAGGCAAGGTCATTCTCAGCTACATAGTGAGTTCTAGACCAGCTCTGACTGCATGAGAACCTGTTTCAGAAAACAAACAACAAAAATGTTCTAAGCCATCACGGACAACTTAATGAAACTGACTCAAAAAGGAGAGGAGGTCAGAAAGATGGCTCAGTAGGTAAAGGTGTCAGCCATGCAAACCTGGTGACCTCAGAACAAACAGAGCTAGAAGAGGTGAGTGACTGCACGCAGTTACCCTCTGATCGCCACAATCGTGCCATGGCACACACATGCAGCCTCTCCCCTGCCCAGCCCCAATATCATGTATACATATACATAGTAATAATAAATAAAAAATGTAAAATAAACAAAGAGGGTTGAGGATACAGCTTTGTGGTAAAATGCCTACCTGGCAAGTATGAGATACTGATCAGTCCCCAGCAACACTCATAAAATAAATTAAAAATATAAATTATGTAAATTCAAATTCCCCCCCCCCCCAAAAAAAAACAGGGTTTCTCTGTGTAGTTTTGGTGCCTGTCCTGGATTTCACTCTCTGTAGACCAGGCTGGCCTCGAACTCACAGGGATCCACCTGGCTCTGCTTCCCAAGTGCTGGGATCAAAGGCGTGCACCACCACCACCCAGAAAATTCAAAGTTTTTTAAAGAAACGAGGAAGTGTACAATTAACTCAGTTGGTTAGTGTGGTGCTCATTTAAAAAAAACAATCAAAGAGTTATAGCCTAGAAACATGAAGAACTTGGGGCTAGTACAGATGTTTAATAGTCTAGGCAGAAGTAAATCCAAGAATCTGAAAGGATTCCAAGTGTGATATGATTTGAGAGGCTCTGTTGTAATCCAGGTCTCTGCTATCTTCTACGGAGCCAAGGAGCTCATTGGGGCAGCTGTTTTCGCAGAAGACAATGTAATCCATTCCAGACATATCTAATCCAAGGTGATGCCAGATGGTCTTGTGCACATACCACACCCTGCAAGCATTCTCTGGTCCAAATCACTGTTGCAGTTCCCAGCTTGAAATGTCAGTTATGTGTGTGACTGATTCTCCTATCTGACAAATTCCTACAAGGACTCCACATTTATGTTTTAAATTCTCTGTGGTATAAGATAAAAAGTATAAAAGTGATTTCAAGGCCACATTAACGATGTCAGCAGATAACTTCCATTGGGTAATACTCATTTCCAGAGCAGACAGCGGCCCGGGCAGTGAGCCGAAGGTCAGAGGAGTGAAGCAGGAAGCTCCCGTTGTGGGGGAGGAGGTCCACTCTACAGAGCCTCTTGTCATCCCAGGGCCGACTGGGCCAGTCGGGGCTTTTGCCTTCCCTCGTGACATGTGCTTGAGTTGCAGCGGAAAGGAAATGTGTCATCTGTGGTTTGGTTTTCAAAGTGGAAAGCTAGCTGTACGCATCCTCTTAAAAAACTGCAGATTTCAGTTTCCTAGTCTCCAAACTACTCTACTTTAAGTAAGAAAAGAAGAAAAGAAGTGGTTTATTAAATAAAGATTGTGACAGAGCACTAAAGGTAGGTCATACATGTGGCTTTTCTCATCCCTTTTCACTCCTAACTCTGTTCAGAGTAGTGTTGAGGAAGTGTTTTTTCAAAGATGTATAAATCTAACAAAGTAGAATTGTTATGTTTTTCTATCCTACTATAGAAAATTATGTAAAGAGCATAAGCGATTAGAGCTAGGAATATTAATCATTATTAATATGAAGTTTTAAAGGAGAATGAGGAAGGACCTGAGTATGGACTCAAATGAGTTGAACAGCTTCAATTGTTTTTTTTGTTTTTTTGTTTTAATTAGAGAAATACATTTCTCTTTACTAGAGCTTAGGCAGTATAAATGTGACTAAAAATGATGAGACAAAAAACAAAACAAGAAAGCCAAAACCTTGCTAACCCAACCTGGTCTTCAGGGCATAAAACAGAGATTTGGAACAATCCTCTGTTCTTAGGCATTTGTGAGTATAAGAGAAAGTCTCATTTTGTCAGCAGCTTGTTTACTGGGGCATGGCAGCACATCTGGCTGAAGACAATCAACAGCAGGCCTATTATCTGTCCCGTGGTACACTGCTAGCATGTAGAATACAGTGATTTATACTGCACTGTGACTGAACTAATGTGATTAGAATAACATACTTGAAGTCATTGTAACATTGAATGTATAAATCTACTCTGGTAGAAAAGGATAGACATTTCTTAATAACCCAATTTAAAGTGCTTCTTTTTTGTGAACAACTCATAAAGTATCCAGAGAATCCTATCATTCAACTTGAAGATTGAAGCTGAATACTATTACATAAAAGTCAGTGCACTGTATCTTGAAGCGTCTACCAATAGTCATAATCCCAATAGTGATCTGGATCCCACAACATTAGGCACAGGTTTTGTTTTTTCCCCTCTCCACTCAGTGTAAACTTAATTCACAAGTTACTTTACAGTTAGCATTATTTCTATATGCTATTTTTGTCTGTGCAACTTAGTACACCTGTGAGTCTCAATGTGCGTGCTTCACTACATTCCGATGATAGTGTTTAATGGCATATACTATCCCACAGAAAACCTCCCTGCTCAAGGATGACTGGCAGAGTGGCATCTGTGCCACTTAGAGTGGTTTAGAAACAGAATCTCAGGCCCTACCCTAGACCTGAAGAAAGACTCCCTTCACACATTCAAGTGTGAAAACATCTATAAAACACACAGGGTTCTTAACAAGATAATTCCATTCATTAAGTCTTAGAACAATCTAGTATTTGCTCTAAGTCTCCTCACATTTATTCTCTGAATAAAACACTGTCTCAAGAGTTGCTCTGGAGAACTGCCATAGTATTATAAATACCTTAGCTGGGCCTGGCCACACATGCACACATGCACACATGCACACATGAATGCCTTGGATCCTAGGACTCAGGAGGCAGAAGTAGGCTAATCTTTTAAAGCAAAGAAACTCACTTCACTAAAGGTGCTAAATGTCTCTTGCTGTACCTGAGACAGAAATGACAGTCCCAGTGAGATCTCTAAGCAGATGGCCGATAACAGTCCTTTTATGTACTGGCTTCTAGGAAGCTGAGCCCAAAACAGAATTTCAATTTTTGGGGGGTGAGGGAGAGGTATGAGTGCTGGGCATGCACCACCACACGGCTGTATCCTGGTTGTGGAATCTCAGTCTTCTAATGTGAAGACAAGCCGCTCACAGCCTGCCACTGTATTCTAAGACCAACAGTCAGCTGACCAATTTTTAAAAATTTTTCTTTCTAATTTCTTTTGCAGATTTGTGTCAAAATGAGGGTGTGGGGAGAATGCCAGTTATACAATGACAACAAAGGTAGCTGCCTTTTGTAGAACTCTGAGTCCAGAAGAAATCTTTTGTTCTTCTTGATTTCTAGGTTGAAAGGACAATTCTGCCTCTGCTATTTGGAGAGTCACTGTCAGCTAAGGCACTTGAGGTGGGATAAGCATACAGCCGCACTCACAAATGCTAGGTCGAGATTCTAAGGCTGCTCTAAAGTCCCAACTGCAAAGGCCCAACAGCACTTCCAATTCCTACTTGCTTTAAGTCTCTACAAAACACCACCCTCCCTCTCCCACAAAAAAGCCACTTGCAACTTCTTTTTATACTTGAAACAAAACTTTCAAGGCCAAGTTCTCCTTTACTTCAAGATGAGGACGTGCAACTCAGAGGGTGGACATTTCAGTAAGAAAGAGCCTTAAATGAGGAATCATAAACAAAGAAGCAGAAGCAGTTGCCTCCAAGCTGAGGTCTATGACACGTCCTTAATAGGAAGATATGTAAAGCTATGGTATACAGTTAAAAACGGTTAAGAGATATTTGTAATGCTAACTTACAGCATCAAAATGTACAACAAAATTTAAATGTTTATATATAATCTAAGAACAGGAATGGGAATCAGTTAAAAAAATGAAAGGAAAAACTTCATTTGGGAAGAATCCAATAGCAAATGGTAGGCATGGATTTCTGATTCCCCCGTGCTACCCATAACTCCACTCACCAGTCACTATTCTCCCACAAACTAATGATTGCTATTGCTATCTCAACAGATACCAGTGTACCCGTGGGCATGGAGCACACAGGACAGTACCTTTATCTTGTTTTCCTCTTGACAACAGTGTGTTCCTTGTCTCCAGGAACAAAAGCAAACTACACACATCTGTGGGCTAACAACATCACAGCTTGGGGCTCTGTTAATCAAAACAGCACGAGCAGACATCAAAGGGAGACGAGCACATCCCCTGCAAGCCCTGCAGCGGGTCACGGAGTGAGTTCTACAGACACGCTGGTACCATCTCCTCCTGTGTCTGCAGCCCCTACATCTACACCAAAGCCCTCCGGACCCCATGTCTTCAAAAACGGCTCTCCAACCACAGCGATCGTTGACAGCACAAGCAAAAGTCATGGGGAAACTTTTCAAAAGGATGTCTGTGAGGAAAACAACAGCAACATGACCATGCTGATTTGCTTAATTGTAATCGCTGTGCTTTTCCTTATCTGTACTCTTCTATTTCTATCAACTGTGGTTCTGGCAAATAAAGTCTCATCTCTCAGAAGGTCAAAACAAGTAGGCAAGCGCCAGCCTCGGAGCAACGGTGACTTTCTGGCAAGCAGTGGGCTCTGGACTGCTGAATCGGACACTTGGAAAAGAGCGCAAGAGCTCACCAACTCCAAGCTCCTGATGCAATCTACTGGTGTGCTCACAGCTACCAGGGAAAGGAAGCATGAAGACGGAACTGAAAACCTCAACTAGGCCACGCGTTTGGAAAGGGAAATGCAAAGCAGCAATGAGGAAGGCTGGGCTGAAAATAAAGCTGGCTGCTGGTGTTTCACACCAATGTTTGTTCAGAAGTCTGATCAAAAAATCTGACGTGCTGAAGTTACTTAAAACTGCATTTCTGTTTCACACTTCGTATTTTTTAAAAAGTAAATAAAACAGCAGCTGAAGAAACTAACAGAAATAACAAGAGGTAACTAAATACTCCTGTTCAGCAATAGGTGATCTCTGTCTGAATGTACTTGAATTGGACAAGTTATATTAAGTCCTTAGAGCCAAGCAGATGCCATATTGCCTAGAAGTCAAATTCCTGATATGTAGAATTGAACTGTGTAATGCAACAGTACGTTCTCACTGGATGAGGTAGAACGCATACATACCAGTTTGTATCTCAGCACAGCTAATATTAGGCTATTTCTCTTTACCTTTACATATGGCACAAGACAAAGTGCTTTGCTACTATAAATAATAAATTAAAACTTGGCCGGGCGGTGGTGGCGCACGCCTTTAATCCCAGCACTC